GTGTGTGTTTGTGTAAGTGTGTGTAAGTGTGTGTAAGTGCGTGTGTGTGTGTGTGTGTGCATGTGCGTTTGCGTGTGTGTGTGTTGCATGGCTTGCATGCACCCTGCAGGTGCACAGTGTAGCAAAGAGAGCGATGGCGAAGACAGAAAATGAGAGAAGACGGAAAGAGGGATAGCAGCAGCAGCAGGGAGAGAAGCATGGATGTAAACAGAGGGGCAGAACACAGGAGGACGAGCATCTGAAATCACACAACACTCACATAGAGAGAAAGCAACTGTGTCAGGGCTCAGTCTGTATGATTGTGTCATCTCATGTGTTTTTATTTTTTATTTTGTGAAAGCACTGGAAGTGCGGTGATGTGTCTGAGGATGGATTGAGAATCATCTGTGGCATAACAAAGCAGCACTGTCCTATTTTACAGGTCTTAATGCTCCTACTGCTCCCATCACACTTTAATTTGTTTACACATTTGCTTTGGATGAAAAGGCATCATGGCACACCCTCCACACAACCACACACTCCTCCTCTTTTTCTCTCACTTTCTCTGCCTCTCATTTCACTGCCATGGTAGTATGTTTTGCAGCACAATGGGATGCCATTGTAATTCCTCTGACATTCTTGTGTGTATATATGTGTCCATATATGAGTGTGTGTATATGTAACTAGAGGGCATGTGCACATTCTGCAGAATAGATAACATTTTGCTGCCTGCAAAAGCTGCCAAAACACTTTGTTTCTGTCTTTGGTAACATCAGAATATTGACATGTTTAAAACTCATGATTCTGTGTAGTAAATATGAATGTAAACTGTTTGTGTATCCAATGTTATTTGTGCTAATGTGTAATAATGCATACTGTCAGACTGTAAGTTTTGTGGCTGTCGTGATGTTGCTTCAGTGTCCTGTTCTTACTTGAGAAAAATAATTTCACTCTGAGGTGACCTGGTAAAGTGAAGCAAAAATCAAATCAAAGGTGTCAAATAGAAGGCAAAAAGTCAACATCATTAAATGTGCTCGACAACAAGGCACTTCTGTATCATTCTGCCAATTTGCTTTTGTCTGACATCCTGTTTCCTTGTTCTTTTTTCTCTATGTTTGTCTCTCTTTTTCCCAGGTAAAGGCGTGCAGATGCAAAGGGATGTCCAGTGCTGCATGTTGTACTCCCAGGGCAAGGTGCGTACCAAAGATGTGTTGCGGTTTGAGGTGCAGACGGAGGGGCCCGATTGCAGTATACAAGCCATCATGCAAGTATTTCAACTATCCACTCCTGGAGCTAAAGAGCACACAGCAATCTGCAGGCATGGAAAATATGCCTCTCGTTAGACGAGGGCAGAGCCGGGCTGAGAGGCATTGTCATCTTTCCAGGTCATGTTGTTATGGCAGGGCTGGGAGCTATAATTGCCAGGGAAGTAAGAAAGGAAATATGTGGGAATAACAAGCCATCTGAAAATACCTTCCGAGCCAGCTGAGCTCTGCCGCAGCCAGTCAGTCAGAACAGCAGGGTTTAGTTAAGTAAACCATTCTGCATTGTGATACCTATTGTTTCCAGCAGGTCAGAGAAATCTGATGTAGCTGGGGAATGAGGAGCTTGCTTTTTCATGTGGTCCAGTTCACAAGAACATTGAGTTCTTATACAGTAGATACAATAGTTTCTTTTGGTCCTCTCTAATTCAGTGGTTCCCAACCTCTTTTCTTCAACTTTACCCACTTTTGATCACAGTTTGACTTCTTTCTACTAGAGAAAAAAAAACTTATTAGACTCTATTTCTACTCTATTTGTGATTTTTCGGCCTCAGATTCTCTGGGGCTTTACTACACGTGACATCTTTGTAGTCCTCCACAGTATTGCTGAATCATTGTATGTGTCAAAGTATTGTGTTCTGTTTATAGTCTTTACACGAAGAAGGCAGTAAAATGCGCAGACCCCAGAGACCGCAAGGTGAAGAGGTTGCTGAGAAAGCTCATGAGACAGAGAAGAAAGGACCACCGAACCATGTGGCTCCTTCCTCATGACAACCTGCCCGTCATGTCAGAGGTCAGATACAAGCTTCTGTACAGCAACAAGACTGTCACAACCTCCTGCAATATTAAATCTAATTTATTCAAATAGAAAATTTTATCTGAGTGTTGATTTGAGATATTAAGGGAGACTTTAATGTTATTTCTATGTTACCTGGGACATTTTTATGAATTTCCTTCTTTTGTGTTCTTCAGGACAAAAAAGATAATTGGGCAGTTCTTAATGTGGAGTGATGGAGCGCCATCAAATATGGAGGAAATCTCATAGTCACAAGTATGTTGTTTTTTTGTTTTTTTACCATTTGACTGTGTTATAATGTTTTAATTCCACGGTATATAATATGTGAAAGTATCTGTCATAATGTCTGTCATCCCACCTTTCTACAGGCCAAGTAAACTTTCAGCAGCTTGTCATCTTTTCACGGCGAAGTTTGCTGACTCTCCAGTCGTCTCGTGTCTCTCTCTATCTACACTATCTGTCTCCCTGGGACCTGACCTGGGCAGCAATACATATTTAAATGGCTTTAGATATTTAAACATGAACTGTGCTTGAAATATGCCCAAACACGTGGCTGGAAAGGTATCAACAGAGGAGTATTTACTTGTAAGATAAGTTGAGTTGAGTTTTTTTTTTTTTTTAAATGGCTCATACTGTTATTTGCCAGAGTCTGCCTGGAAGTGTCTCCCTCTACAACATTACTACTCTGATGTGAAATCAGTGAAAAAGAGGTAATTAAACAAACGATAAACGAGCATTGATATTAATATTGTATATCAGCAAGATACTCTATGCTTATTTGTGACTTGTATACCTTCAGTGATGTGTAATGACACTTCACACAGTGTAGGCTTTGACCTGATATATTTGACTGTTAGACGGGTGAAATCACAGCGGGATCAGAGAGATTTCACCTGGATACAACTTCCTATGTCACATAAAGAGCAAATGTTCCTGATATTTTGTCCACTCTGTATATTGACTGTTTGTAATCTCAGTATGAAATCAATCTTTTAAAATGAGGCCCTCAGGCATCTACCAGAGATTTAAATATCTACGCATTTGCAGTTTACATTTATCTTTTTCACCAATAGTCCGTCACTAAACTATGCCAAAGTATTCATGATTCAATTCACCACATGGCAAGGCTGTTACAACTTAGAGGGCTCAATTGTGTGGCAAACACACAAGTATTGTATTGTAGAAGAATGCACTGTATGTTAAAACACAGTATCTCAAGTGAACTATTTTATAAATTAATCTGAAATAATAATTGGAACTGCCTCACTGTCTTTTTCTGAGTACCTTGTGTGTGTGTGTGTGTGTGTGTGTGTGTGCGCGTGGACTTTATTTAGCCATGTTGGCAGCGTGGATCTAAGGACAGCAATGTTGGTGGGTTCATCACTTCGGTCCAGACTAAAATATCTCAACTATAGTGGATTGCCGTAACATTAGACATTTATGTTTCTTTCAGAATGATGATTTGGGTGACCCCTTAATTTTTCATCAAGTACATTTTTAATTTGTCCAGTAATTGGTTTTATGTCCAAATACCAAAAAAAAAAACTTAAAATAATGACTCGTCAGCCTCAGCTGTACTTTGTGCAAATCATCAATAAGTCAGACCTGGATCACTTTAAAAACAACAGTGAGGTTTGCAATGTAAGATATTACAATGACAACAGACAGTTTTGACATTCAAACAAAAGCATACAAGGTAAAGTTTTGTCTTTTTTAATGACCAACTACTTACATTAATATCAAACTGTTATAGGACCCATCCAATTATTATTCCAAACTGTTTTTTTCTCATATATATATATATATATATTTGACCCATATATGTCTCAAAAGAGAACAGTTTCTGGGACAGACAGGAGAATATCCTCCACCAGGGGTAGCCACAAACACAATGATGAGAATCACAGTTCAATTCCTGAGCCATTTATTTGTCACATTTTTCATAAGCCATCAATCAAAATGTTGAGATTTTTACGGAAATAACATCAAGCATTAAAACTAAAATCAAACCTAATGAGCTGAAAAGTGACACAAAGTCAGAAGAGCTGTCAATTACCTTTTCACTTTCATAATTATGCACAACACTTTACTCTAAAACAATCTACACCTAAAAGCATAAAGTACATTCAAGTCCTCAAGGCTTTCACAAGCTTTCTTCACAGTACCTTTTCACTAAACAATAAAAAATAATCAATCATGAACTTGCAATATATTATTACAGTCAGAATATAACAAAAGAAAGGAACACATTCAGTTGATAGTATGACTTATTAAGCAGAAAACACAAACAGGCAGGTTTAATACTGATGTTATGCCCACTGTTGTGACCAACAACAAAAAGTCTACTAATGGTCAAGAAACTTGAAACTACAGTTGTTTATACTTATATTTTATATATGTTTATAAAAGAGGATCCAATGCAAGATCAATCAAGCCTTAATATAGAAAATTGTACCTAGAAACAATAAATGTCATTCTGTTTGATATTTCCCTCTTCTGTTTGATATTTCCTGAAGTAAAAAAAGATCAAGAACAAATATAACTGCAGGTGTTCCTATGAAATTGCCGTGTAGCAGTACAGTCCTGTACCCATAATTTAAAAGCAATAGCACCAAAGAAATACATGAAAATACACACACAAATATAATATCTATAAGAAAGTACTGAGGGGAAAACGTTCTACAAAGTCACTTATTATATCAAACTCAAAACAATAATTAGCAAAGTTTCTCCTTCACACCAACCTCCAGTGTTTAACAGTCAAGTATATTCAAAATTGTACAATTACACTGTGTAAGCAAACTTGATTGTTCGGGTTGTTTGAAGTGCGTTTGTATGAGATACTTATCCACAGTCAGTGTATTACCTGCAGTAGACGGCCCGGCCCCAGTTTAGAGAAGCAGACAGGAGGCCCAGCAGGGAAGCAAAGCAAAGCACTGTTGATGATGAACTGATATTAAGTTTTTCAAGGTGGGAGTTTTTTATGTGGATGAAATTATTTTTTTCTGCTGACCCTGTATTCAGCAGTGCTCTGCTTCTCTGCCAGGACTCCTCTTTGCTTCTCCAAACTGGGGGCGAGCTGACCTCCAAGTACCTCATACAACCCCACTTAATAAAACCTGAACTATCCCTTTACATAAACAATATTAAACACTTAAACACGAAATCCAGAACAATTCTGAGATTGATTTATTTACATGCTGCTGATATGCTTGAGTATTTTTGTGTGTAGTGCTGTAGAAGTCCTGTTAGAGGTAGTCATAATGGAAATGACAAAAAATAAGTGTTTGCAAAAGAAATAATATATATTTGATGTTAAGTCATGCAACAGAAATAGCCAAATTATGCAGATTTACATATTCACAAGATTGGAAAATATGCTGGTTGACTTTTTTTGTTTGTGAATGGTGGTGTTTCTCTAATAATACTGTGTGTAATAACACTGATGCTGGGGAGGGGTTTCTGGTGCTCTGACTGTATGGATCATAAAACATAAGAATCTTTGAAAACACGATGAAGCTATAGACTTTCTAAAAATGACTTTAAACTGTCGACCGTCTGACACATTGAGTTTGCCTGACATTGAATGAAACATCATCAAACAGCAAAATGCCCCCAAATAACTGGCACTGAATTAATCAGATTGTAGGCATAGGATGCCTAACTGTTTCTAAACAGCATGTTCACTTATTTCCTGTCATTAAGCAGGCCTGGGCACAGGGTTTGTATTGCCCCATGTACTGGCTGAGTTGATCAAGAACTATTATTTTCTAAGACTATCCCTGCACCAATGCAAGCCAAACTTCTAGCTAAAATGCTTTTGGTACATGAAGCCCTTAAGGGTGTAGCTCTTGTCTTCACATTGTGGTCTCACTGTTGCGGTGATTAAGTGAATCGTTTTCCTGACAGATAAGCTGGTAGGGTTTCTCATTCTCCTCGATCACAGAGTTGCGCACCTCAGCATCCTGACTCTGCAGCTCTCCGCGGGAGAGGTGCTCCACGATGCCAGCCCCGAGCGAGTCACCCAGCACGTTGGTGGTGGTACGCAAGCGGTCCCTGTAGGGAGACAAGAGAGCAAGAATGTAAAGAGATGTACAGTAGAGATATACAAACAGGGAAAACATTATTGTATATTTGCTATAAAAACACTCCCAGCTGAAAATTCATAACCGTGCCTCTAAACACGGGCTTTCTAATCTGTGACTCTGCATTATGCATCAATAACCTTTGTAGTGGTGGGACCTCTGGGCTCTCTGAAGCTTTACAATGACATTTAGGCTGGCAGACCCACAGAACAGTACACAGTCCAATCCCCATCAAGCTGACATTTAGTGGGAACTTACAAGAACCAATCCACAGCGATGATCAATGTTATGTCCTCTGTGGGCAGTCCCACCGATGTCAATACAATCACCATGGTAACCAGGCCAGCCTGAGGGATGCCTGCTGCTCCGATGCTGGCAGCAGTTGCTGTGATACTGAGTGGGCGGTGGGAGGGATGGAGAGGAGAGTGAAGACATTTAATAAAGGGAAACAAGCAAGCAGCACATGTGCACTACTGGTGGGAGTAGTAGAGTGATAAAAGCACATGAGGAATTATAAAATTATGTAAATTATTTTCAAGCTGGTCACACGCTATATTTACTACCAACTGTAGAGGGTTGTGCCCAGGCTGTTAAAGATGAATAAACCATAAAGACAATTTAATTATAATACAGTGATATACAGTGAGTAAATATGTATACACTTGCTCTGTTAATGAGGCTGACCAGAAGAATCATAGTGTAAATAACTCTTCTGGAGTAAAGTGGTAATAAAGATGAAGATGAATTCATGTGGAAGAAAATTTCTGTACACCAACTATGCAGTAAGCGCAAAGTGAGAAAGGCGTTGCTAGTAATCACTGAGAACCTTCTTCTTCCACAATTCGTACATCAGTTAATTCCATTAATAGTTTTGGGTTCTCCAGTCAGGGTTTACCTTACCATTAGACAAAAGTTGTTTTATAAAATGTTCCCCTTTCAAAACAATAAGTTACAACATGTTTCATAATAATAAAACAAACAAAAAAGATAAATACAAGGATAAAATGTTTTCTTCTCTGAGCTGACTATAGGTCACTGCTGAGAATGGTAGTACTACAAACCTGTATACCTGATATTAGCTCTCGTACATACTTACAGCCCTCAGAACTTCCAATACATTCCCGAAGAGGGCACATTTAGCCCCCAGCATCAGTATTTGTGTATGTGGTGTAAACCAAAACTAAAGTAGGGTTACCTGATAGTAAGAATCTGTCCAAAGTTTAGGTCCATGTCATTGACTTGAGCAATAAAGATGGCTGCCACAGCTTCATAGAGGGCGGTGCCATCCATGTTGATCGTGGCACCCACAGGGAGGACGAAACGTGTCACTCGTTTATCCACGCGGTTGTTCTCCTCCAGACAGCGGAAGGTGATGGGCAGGGTAGCAGAGCTGCAGTATGCAGGGAGAGAGATGTGTAGGGTTATTTCTCTATAATACACAGTATGTACTATCAATTTCTATCCTTTCAGAGATCATATCATATCCCAGCAATGTTACTGTTATTTAGGTCCCACTATACTACTGTAGATAATAGTTTCTTTTTGTATCTTAAAGTGTAAACTTGTAGTACGTAATTCCAATTAATTTGAATCTCTTTGTCTACTGTTCTAATCTAAATCATTATATGATATGGTCAAGTTATATTGGCACACAATGGGACAAACATCTTTTTTAGTGTCATGGACACCAGAATCTGAGCAGGACAGAGGATTTGAGACTTACCTTGATGAGGTCCCCAGAGCAGTGATGAGTGCCTGCAGCAGGCCACCAATGAAGCTGTAGGGATTCTTCCTGGTCACTAGGAAGTAGAGCAGTGGCAGCACAAAGAGGCCGTGGATGAGGAGACCCACAATGACTGACACGGTGTACATCCCCAGCTGGCCGCCCACCTCTGCCAGATTCTTCATCTCCACAATCTTCCCTGCAATCAGGAACATGATGCCCACTGGAGCATACCTGAGAGGTGAGATGTATGAGGGAGATAGGGAGACAAGCACATTGGGTTAAGTAACTAAAGTGAATTTTCTATAACCAACTCAGGTCTTTAGAAAGAGCTATACAATTGCTTTATGAATTTTTGTGATAGTTATCTATCTGCACAAGCGTTTAGGAACTTTTTGTACACCATCTTTGAAAAGAGAGAGGTGTATCTTTACTGACCAGATGATGATGGACACCAGCCTCATGATGGCTTCATTGAGGCAGTCAAAGAAGTCCCTGAGGGCCTGACCCTGTTGCTTCATGTTACCAATGACCAGACCAAAGCACATGGAAAAAACCACCAGACCCAGAGCATTCACTCCAGCAGAGGAGCCGGACACAGGGACAGTCTCCTCCACTGTCTCCTGTTGTAAAAAACATGTGTAAGGAAATATTACAGTTCCTGCAGAGGTTCTTGACACAAAATCTAAGATGCAGTAAAAGAAGGTTCCACTTACATCTGTATAAATTGATATGAATTAAGTCTGATTTATGTCCTTGTCTGCCACCCACCTGTATGGTGTGCAGCACCCTGCTTAGGTTTACGTTCAAGTTAGAGTCCGTCACGTTGAGAGAATCAGTGAGGTTCAGGGTCACTGTCACGTTCCTTGTGTGCACAGTTTTCTTGTACACAGTTTTATACTGCAAGAGAGAGCATTAAAATTAAACCAAAATAATGCATTAATTATGACTTGGTTGTTAAGTTTCTGACAGTGAGTTGTGAGATGTGATTTGACAGTCAAATAATGTCCTTTTTGCAAGCTGTTTTTGTCTTTGATGGCTGGTTGAGTTTGGTCTGGACATGGATGATGGGAGTTGTGTTATAATATTAAATATATGTGTTAAAAATTAAAATTAAATGTGTTAAAGAAATACCATTAATATTATATAACTGATGGGAAGAGTCAGCCTCACCTGCTTAAAACAAGCCTCGACCAGATTGGGAGGAAACATGTTCCTAGGAAGAAAAGATGAGAGAGAAATTATTATGTTTGTGCTCGTGTTTCTAATAAATATATAAGTCACAGCAGTTTGTACATTTTGTAATACTACAATTTGTTAATCAATAAACATGTGATAATAAGAGTACAGAATGAGTCATTTGTTTGATCAGATACAATAGGTGAATGGGTGAATGAGTTAATTTCCACACTACCTGTTCCTACTATTTTCTGATATCTGAATGTCCTAATGAGTATATTAAACCTTTGAAAGGGATAGTTCGACGTTTTGGGAAATTCACTTACTTGTTTTTTTGCTGAGAGTTCACTGAGAAGACTGACACCACTCACATATGCCCATTAAATATGAAGCTAAAGCCAGCCGCCAGTTAGCTTAGCTTAGCATAAAGACTGGAAACAGGGCGAAACAGCTCGCCTGGTTCTGCCCAAAAGAAAACCCGCCTACCAGTATTTCTCAAGCTCAATCTTAACATGATATATTTGGTTTCTTTTAATTTAATTTATTTGTGGCATTATGTGCCCGACTATATCTTGGCCGCTGCTAAGCTAAGCTATTCCTCTACTGTCATATTAAGAGTAAAAATGAGAGTGGCATCAATCTTGTCCTCTGACAATAACTTGGTGGTGTGTGTGTGTGTGTGTGTGTGTGGACAAACTCAAAGTAGCAACTTCACAGATCAAGTAGAGTTTCTAAGATGTTACCTGATGAGATCCAGGAAAGCATCAGCAGCCTGAACTGGTTCTATGTTTCCACTGTTGGCCACGGGACTGTCCCTGCTGCCTTTCCCCGGTCTGATGATTATCACGATAACGATGCCAATGAACACGGCAATCAGGGTGGTCACCATGTAGTAGACCACTGCACGCATACCCATCTTACCTGACGCTTTGCTGTCCAAGGAGGAAATACCTGAGACAGAGGAAATTAGTTTGAGAATTTAATTAGTTCAGATCTTGTTATCAATGTTTTTTTCTTAATTAAAACTGATATAATTGGCCAATGATTGGCCAAATAATGAAGCACTTTGGTTTTCCGAGCATGACATTGGTGACTATTTCTCTCTGTGATTGGAGCTGATATTTAGTGTAGTGTAGTTCAGGGGTTCCCAAGCCTTTTTATGTCAAGGACCCCCACAATAGATAATTTTGTCTCTCACTATAAATTACAATCAATCAAAACCAAAAAACATTTTTGGTTCACATTTAAAACATTCTATTCCTCCTTTTGCTGGGACCCTCTACAACCCAGTCAAGGGCCCCTGTTGGACCCAGACCCCAGTTTGAAAGCCACTGATGTAGTTGTAACATTCCTTCACCTCTCCCATTTCAGGATCTAACCAGTAATCTACTTTAACATGCCAGCCAACCTGTAACCAGACTAGAGACGATGAGAGGCAGCACCAGCATCTGTAGCATTCTCATTAGCAGCTCCCCAGGAAAGGCGAAGTACTTGATCTCCCTCAGGGACAGGTTGTGGGGGCGTAAAGTAAAGCCCAGGATTACACCTGAATAAATTTGCACACATACACGAAAGCACAAATGTACACAAAGTTAAATAAAGTCTGACAGCAGAGAAACAGTGTTAAACCTCCACTTCTCTCCTCACTCACCCAGAGCCACAGCTGCGACAGTGAACAGAACGAACAGGTTCCTCTTGAGGAAACCTGTGATGCTCTCCCTACTGATGGAGCTCATCCTCTCCTTAATGCTGCTGGCTCTCCTCTCCATGGCCCTGCGTAGGCGCCTCCTCAAGTCTCCTCTTTCGGGCAGGGGGGGTTTGTCCGCGTCCTCGTTTAGAAAAAGACTAGCACTGGTGGGGGGCTTCTCATTCATAATCAGCTCCAGCACCTGGTCCAGGAGGCAGGTCTCGTGGGAAACTGGGCAGGGAGAGGACGAAAGAGGGAGAAATAATTGGTCACATATTCTAGTTTTTTGTCTTGTGCAATCAGAACAGAGTATGCCCTAAATGGATATATGGCATAGTGGGGTTGTTGAAAAGAAAACCCAGATATTTAATTTCTTCTTCTTAGTGCCCAGAACGTAAATGCCCCACTTTTCATATAAATTGCTTCATTCTAGTTGTAAGGCAATTAGTAGACAGACAAAACATAATTTATTATTAAGCAAAACTGCCAAAATTCACTGGTTACAACTTCTTAAATGTGAGCATCTGGTGATTAGTTTCATATTATTGAATATTAAATATATTTGGGATTTTGGACTGTTCACTGGACAAGCAAGCAATTTGAAGACATCCTCTGTATTTTACACTATTTTAAGACCTTTTACAGACCACATGAGTTATCAATTAACTAAAAAACCTGAACTAATGAACCCCAAATTGCTCCTGATGCTGTGCATCGTGTATGAATGTGTGTGAATGGCATGTAGTGTACAGTGCATTAAGTGGTCGAAAGACTAGAAAGGCGCTATATAAATACAGTCCATTTATCATTTACTATTATAGACTTGGAGCAAGTCATTTTTCAATCATAATTGCAATCATCAGTAAAAACAACCCACTTCTCAATTCTACTTTCTACTGTAATAAAAATACACAATTAATGTACTTCATATTAGATGTATCGAAGTATCTAAAGTAAAAGCTCTTGTTCATGACCTCATATTGTATAATACAGTACTGATGGTAGTTTTGTCTGAGTTAAATAAACACTCTTGCTGGTCTCACTCTCCAAGTGCAAGGCTAAAGAACATGACCTTGAATATAAGCAAGCTACATGTGTTTTTCTGGGCATGCCTTTTTTTGTACTATAGCCAGTAAAAAAAATAAATATCAGCTCTGTCTTTCTAAATCTTTTACTTTTACTGTGATCAGTTTTTATACGTTTAAGTAGATGTAACAACACTGTAAAACTTAAAAACATTGAGCTTCTGTAGTCTTACCGTGTTTCCTTCTGCTGTACAACACAAAGCAGTCTGTGTATAGCACGTGGCTGGCCCTTATCTATCTAGGCTACAACGTTTTCCTCTGAATCACCCTGTGCAAACAGACCTGAAGCCCTTCTCTTAAAGACCAATACAGTAAACAGCCAGCTTCTTCATCTGCTTGTCCTTTACGTCCAATAAAGTCACTCCAAGCTCCAACACCTTTATATATTCATTCTTCCCTGAGGGATAAACACTTACCATACGATCTCCAAAGACTATTTGCATCATTCTTGTCTATTGATTTTCTTTTGTCCATTGTTCTGAGGTTCACATTTATCTATACATCCCACATACAGTGTAAAAGACCCATTGTTGAGCAGGATGTGGGATGACCCTTGATAATCCAACCAATTATTTAGTTCGGTGTCGGATGCAGAATAATCACCTTTTACGGTCACAATGTTTCACAACAAGTCTGAAGGACTACAGAGAGTGCTCCTGTTCCTATATCACAATTTCTGAGGGCTGAATGGATGAGAGGGTATGAAAAGGCAGATTAAATCATACACTTTTGCGGTTTTTACAGCTCCGCATTAGCATTGAAATGGACTGCCACTTGTGTCAACAAAATGTAATGTCATGCTCTGTGCATGTTCAGTGCAAATCAGTGTCACCGAGCCCAGAAAAGAAAACAATGAAGGAACAATGAAGCCTTAGTGAAATAATTAAATGGTAAAAAACATCACCTGATAAACATAAAGACAGTAGACCGCCATTGCTTTTACATATCAAACAGCCAGCTTCAACATATATTATTTAATTGATTCCAAGTGATCACCAATGATTTCTGTTTCTGATCATTTTTCAGTAGATTATACAATTTTATGTCAGGAAGTAAAAGTAGTTTTGAAATCAGTCTTTTAATATGCAGATTTGTTAGATATATTGATATATTATTGATCATCTCCCCATTTAAGGTTTAAAGCATCAACTGTGAACCGCAATGTCCCCAGTCCCCAGTCCGAGTCCGGCTGGGGGGCTTTTGGGGCACGTCATTCCCCATTTCTCTTCACTCATTTTCTGTCATCTCTCCACTGTCAAGATTCAAATACAATTGCTAAAATACTTTAAAAACACTTCTACTGTATGTTAAATACAGTGCTTCAGTAGTCTCAATAGAAAAAGCATCATTTAGATAATTTTGTTTGAAACAATATGATGAAGCTTTCCAGCTCAGAAATTGGTTTTGGTTTCCCCGAACCTGCCAGGCAGACCAGCAGCAGCTGTTGCCCCTACGGCTTCACACCACAGTGTTGTATTAAAGCTGTATAAGCCAACTGGAGCCAACTAGGCCAACAACTCTGGGCTACTTAACTTTGTTTCCAATGCTTTATTGTTATAAATAGTTAAGAAACACTATTCCCAAAGTCAGAGAAAACAGCTGCAGTTTTAACATTGACTCTATTACACTGTTTTATTGTGTTTGTCACTGAGGTTTCATTAGTGTCAAAGCAGTAACCTGATGTCCAGCCTAAAGCCACCAACTCTGGCTCAAACTGCTCGGTCCTGGTGAGTCTGCAGGCAGCACTCTGACAACCCAAACATCCCACAGTGGATGAGGTAAGTGATAAACATTAAGCTAACAGCAAGGAAATGAAGGTCTATAATAGTAATGGAAAGTATCAATAACTCTGAGATGGTCAACAGGCATTTTTTTTATACCAAAAGAATATCTTACCATTAAAATCCAAAACTTCTGCAGCACAGAGTTATCATTATTGATGTTAAAAGCATGCAGCTTGTAAGGCAGAGCACATTTCACACCTCAACAGAAATCCACTTCTGACTTAGGACACTCATCATGTGTCCACATGTTTTACATGCTGTACTACAGTATTATTTGCACCACTGCATCACAATAACAGTACTCTGGGAAAAGTATCTCAGACATCACTTATCAGTTGATTTATTTTATGCACAAAGTATTTTATTATTGATCCCATAAAACAGGAATTGTTCCTTCAAAATCAGAGGGTGCACCTTATATGCTGCTATAAATGTGTAATATCTCAATAAAATTGCAATGCTTCTCTCCTTGTAAATTCCAATATTCATTATTTTTGGCATAATCACACAAAATATAGAATTAGTAGAAGCTTCTAAGCTTTGCAAACTTCAATGAACTGCTCACTGGTTACTCACCACTCATGGTTTATAGTCTGTGTCAAACAGTCCGATCAAAGTCAGGTAACAGCTTTCAGTTTCTCAGCCGTCGACAGCGAGATGGGATAGTGTGTGTGAGAGAGTCCGGAGCTGAGTCGCGCAATGACAGGACGTCTCACTGCTGGGCTCTCATAAGCAGACAGACTTGAAAAGGCCTCTCATATGGCCTGACCTTCTCATACACACACACACACACACATGCACACGTACACAGAACAGCCAGCCTTTTGCAGTCCATGACAAATCCATCAAAGTCAATGCATCCATCTAGTTTCCATCTCCTCATCTGATTCTGCACCCTCAACAAAATGTCTTTACACTAGAGATATATTTCCCATAACACTTTGCACAGAAACCTGTTCCTGTGACAACAAACATCCACACCAAAATCTTTGAATTGTAGGCAGCACTAATTAAACAAATGAAAATCTGTTAACTCATTATGAACAGTACTATTCAGCTGTATATCTTCTGGACAGAAGTTGTCTGGGACTAGTAGGCACTAAAGGTTGTTCTTCAAAAATGTACACATCTGGACTACAGTAGCTATGGAGATATAACATGTGAACAGCAATAACTGTGATATGCTGCTTGTGTTTTCTGTTCCTGATGACAACAGATATTGTTGAGAGAGAGAAGACAACGTTAAGGAGGTTGAAGAAAAACTCAGTGGTCTCCTTTTTAGTTACACATATCTTGCAAACCCATCGTCACTGCAAACCCTCTGCTCACAGTGCCATGTCCAAATACACACTCACCAGCTTAACTGATATAATTAACGTACTTATTTTAACCCTGATATTTTCCTAAACCTAACTAAGTAGTTTTGGTGCCTAAACCTCAAGAAGGTCACCTGAGTTTGTCCTTTCCTGCACATCCAAGTACACTAATATATTAAAGGAGCAGTTTGGGATATACCATATGTGTCAGGATACAGGGGTTACGATTCAATATATTGTGATATATTGTGGAACTGTAAGCTAGGCGATATAATGAGATTACATTTTTTTTAAATCACATTTTAGGAAAACTGTTATATATAGTATTTATAGTATAAAGAACACACCACCATATGCATCAACAATTTAAGTCAAAAAGGATCTGCTTTTGTATTTATCACAGTCATCGTAACATCCAACATCACTGGCCTCAGTTCACATTGGTGACACTGCGACCTAGTGGTTGGGGGTTTAACCACAAAAATGGATAACGTGTTTTTGAGAATCTGTACAATATCACAAAATCACGATAATATACGATATTTTTTTATATTTTCTTACCCCTAAAAAAAAAGTTCTTGGACAAATGGGCTTTTAGTCCAAGCAGATATTTTTCTCAATTTTTGGGTTTCCAAATAATAGGCCGTTGGAACAATGGACCTCTGCTGTACCCATGCTCACCACCATCACCACTCTTCATCAGAGTGAATGAAACAACTAATCTGCTGACTATGGGCGTTTACTCTTCCAGTTAAACCAACCAGATTTTCTCATCATGCTGGTTAACCATGCTGTTGCAGTCAAACATTAAATCTGTTCTCCTCTCTGCTGCTGTCAGCTGTCACTACAGAAAAAAACTGCTGTAAACCTCCAGTTCATCATAACCAGTTCCCAGGTTGAGCTCATCAGAGTCTACTCTTCATCAAATGCAGATCTTCAGCATTCTCTTCATCCCTTCACCACCACCGCCTTTACAAATCACAGCGTCACCAACCCCTTTAAATATGACAACGTCACGATGGGGTCTAATAACCAAAGACTTTTCACATTTCTCTGTCAATAAATATAATAGTTGATTCAAAATGAAGTATCTCCTAATTGAAAGAGAAGTTAACAGGATGAACAGCAACTGCTGTTGTATACGTACAAGCGTAGTCCTCCTACACCATACGTAGACATATGACAGACTCTTGTCTGAGATATATGGATTTAACAGAAACAGAAGCACAGATTTTTTAAAATTACATTAATTTAACAGTTGTTTTTTATTATTATTTTGTGATAGTTTCAACAAAAACAGTAACTGCTTAACATCTGAAAACACATCAGTTACCAAATACAAAAATCCCAGAGCAGAATGGCACATTAATAGAACTCATTTAGATTAACAAGCAATAGTTGCAAAAAGAAATCTGTAAAATTACCCCAGAAAAAGCTAATTGTCAATGACTTTGCCACAAATAGCTTGTGGAAACAGAGAATGTCTTACTGTGTCGAGTACCAGTAGGCCAATCAGACCTCAGTATGTAAATTACCTCAACGATGAACACACCTGCTTCACAATTCATTGGAGGCGAGGGAAGGAGACGTGTAAAGTCAAGATTTCTCACAAACCGCTGCACTGATTTTGATCATCCCTCTTTCAATCTTCATCTCATAAATCACCCAACTTTGTAGAAGTGCAACACCAAATTGCTGGAATACCCCTTTAATTTGTAGGCTGTTTAGCTGTTATTTTCTATCACAACCCAGTAAGCATCAAAATGATCACACATACATAGACAGATACAGATAGAC